TTATATAAAATGATATAATTAGAAATCTTTTCCATGTAACTTTTACAATTATAAACTTTACTCATACAAAATTATATGGTCAGATTCCAATTACCCGTAACTTCTACGCATTTTCATTAGTAACCAATGGCGGTGGTATGTAAACCTTATTGATAGGATGTGATGGCTTTGTTCCTTTCGATTTTGGTAAGAAAGAAAAGGTGTAGGAAATGGACCTCCATCTAAGAAAAGCATTCCAGATAAGAAATCTCATCAAAGTTAAAGCTAGATTCTCCTTAGTCGATGATTTTTTTTCTTTTCTTTTCGGTAAAAAGGAAAACCGGATGGAAACTGCCTGCAAACCTCCTTTCTAATTGCCACACAATCAATTGAGTCCAATAGAGCAATAAATTTTTTTGTTATTTTATTAATGATAATTTAATAATTTTAATACTTAAATTATGCTTTTAATATAAAATTAAACCTCATAAAACATGAATCTCACATACATATATATAGGACACTTTTATTTTTTTAATCTTGAGTTGTACAATGAAAGATAACTTTCACACATCCCTTAACCCACCCCATCTTGTGCCATGCGATACAAACTTATAACCTCTTATTTCTAACAAAAAAAAAAAAATTACTACTGAATTATTTAGATTATTAAAAGAGAGATACTCTTATACAAGTTTGTCTTATAAGTTTTTGTTGACTTAATATACTCCAAGAGGGGGGATGAATTGGAGTTAAAAAATTTTCCCCTCTTTGCAACCACCAAACAAAAATCAAAGAGAGAGTAAGGAAGAAGAGTTTGCATAATGATTTTATAAAGGTTCGGTCCAACCACTTGGACCTAATCCTCTACCTTGGCTTTACTTACCAAGGATTTCCTCCACACTCTCCATTAACAAAATCAAGGGTGGCTTAAAGGAACCATTCAATCCTTTTACAAGAAGAAAGGTGTTTCTTTCAAACCTCACCCCTTTGCAGTTAAACCCCAAGAATCTTCTCTACAAATCACTCTTGAAGGATTAATCACACCCTCAAGATCACTCACAAATAAAACAAGAAGAGGATTACAAGTAAAGATCTCTCAAAGATCAAAAACTCAAGTTAAAGCTCATGTAGGTAGGTAAAGATATTCAATACAATGCTCTCTAAACTTATTCCAGATCTTCTACCAATCATATTTATAACCCCATGGTCGAAAATAGCCGTTGGGGGTCATTTAATGCTCTGCAGGACGCAAAGCTCAAGTTGTAGGATTGTCAGGATAGTCGGCTTACCATTTCTACAGCCGGCTCTGCGAATTTCCTGCATTCTATTTTTTCCGTAGAGGCAGCTTAAAAATTCTGTAGCTGGCTCTACGGGTTTCCTGTACATTCTATTTTCTTCCACGGCCGGCTGCAAAGTTTAAAGTCGGCTTTGGGATTCCAACTTTAAAAACATTAAATAATCTTCAAATAACTTGATTGTTGTGTATTAAATGCACCCTCAAAACTGCAAAGTTGGAGCTGGCTTTGCGTCTTTTCTCCGTGCGTGCCCAACAACTGACTTTTAAGATTTTTTAAAATTGAATGTTTATGACATTAATTAGAGTTTAAATTTTTTAGGGTTCAATATTTAGAATGTTAGGGTTTCGATTTTTTTTTTTTATTGAATGTTTAGGGTGTTAGGTTTAGTATTTAAGGAGTTCAAGTTTAAATTTTTTGAATTTTATATCTTATGATATTAGGATTTAGACTTTTTGAATTATATATTTTATAATGTTAGGGCATAGATTTTTTCAAATTTAGTATTTAATGTGTTAGGGTTTAAATTTTCAAAATTTAAGATTTAAGGTTTAATATTTAAAATGTTTAGGTGTTTAATAATTTAAAAATTCAAATTGCAGGATTACAAAGTAA